ACAAAAACCTACTTTACTTTGCTTACATCATGTACTTGTTAGACTTATCTTGCTGAAACTTGAACCATGTACCTGTTGTACTTACCTTTCTGGGCCTTGAACCATGAAATGTGCCAGTTACTTTGAACAAGTTAGGACGTACCTCGTCTTTCATGCACATATTTAAGAAATAAAAAGACGTATATCCTATTTATAGCGACAATAAAATAAAAACTTACTATTTTAAATCAAAAAGTTCTTAGACAACCGAAAAATTCAAATTGATGAATATTTTGTTGAGATACAATGCTGTTTAGAATGTATCTGCAAAAGGATGTATATCTCAAAATATCAGACTTTTGTAACAAAAATGACGTATGTCTGGCACGTGCATGATCTGACTTAACATACTTTTTGATTTTTAATTCATTAAGTCAAGTTTGAAAAGATGAGCACTCGGTACAATTTTGGTAAAAATTCAATTAATTTTGAGTCTTTGGGGAGTTTTTTGCATTTCCTGAAAAATTTGAAAATTCGGATATACGACCTTTTGATATCCCACCGACGATATGATGGTGAGCCAACAGTATATTTGAACTTTGTAAAGACATTTAGAAATCTGATCGAAACAAAACCAAATGTTACAGTACCAGGTTGAATTATTTGAACCAATATACGTCTGGTGAGGTGAAGGAGCTTGTTAAGAGTTGCCTTCCTATGCCTCAAGAGCAAGGATATATCGAAACCCTTTCTCTGATGAAGAAAAGATTTGGTAATAATTATAGAATTGCCACATCTCTTGCTGATAAGGTCACAGAGGGTCCGCAAATTTTGAATGAAATCTTTATTGTTATCTAAATATATTCATCTACATGTTGTTGACATGCATTTTCAGGTCCTAAATTAGAAATAATGATCTTAGATTATGAGCTTGTTGAATATTCAAATATACAAAGTGAAAAGTCATGGATGTTGGGGCCTCCATCTATATGACAAATTAGCTTCGTACATGTACAAATGTGGAGTTAACAACTAAGAAAGAGATGGATTAAAACAGATGGTTGCAGGTGGCGTTAAAGAGAAAACAGATTGGTTAGATGATGGTGATTATAATGTTAGTACAGAGAAAACAGATTGGTTAGATAGTGGTGATTGTAACGGTAATATAGAGAAAACAGATTGGTTAGATGGTGGTGATTGTAATGGTAGTACAGAGAAAACAGATCAGTTAGATGATGGTGATTATAATGTTAGTACAGAGAAAACAGATTGGTTAGATAGTGGTAATTGTAACGGTAGTATAGAGAAAACAGAGTGGTTAGATAGTGGTGATTGTAATGGTAGTATAGAGAAAACAGATTGGTTAGATGGTGGTGATTGTAATGGTAGTACAGAGAAAACAGATCAGTTAGATGATGGTGATTATAATGTTAGTACAGAGAAAACAGATTGGTTAGATAGTGGTGATTGTAATGGTAGTATATAGAAAACAGATCAGTTAGATGGTGGTGATTATAATGGTAGTACAGAGAAAACAGATTGGTTAGATAGTGGTGATTGTAATGGTAGTATAGAGAAAACAGATCGACTAAAGGGTGATTATGACGGTACTACAAATCGGGCAGTTGATGGTGATGAAGACTTGTTTTCCTCAGATGATTCTGTAATTGTTCCTTTATTATCAGTTTGTAGATTTTTTGGCTACATTTATTAAATAAAGTACATTGTACTATAGGACATACTTTTCAGAATACAGATATGTGGCATAGTCTGCAAATCGCAGATAATCATGTTTTCATAATAGTTACAAAATGGCAAGTAAATGGCAAGATGTATGTTCAATTCACTTTAATTCTGTCAGCTGATTTTTTTAACTTAATTTGCGTGACCTCTGCATGAACGCTTATTACCTTTCGCCAATACGCAGCTTTTATATTATCTATTTTATATTTGTAGAGCATTTAAAACATCAACTATTGGTAGAAGTAACACATCGGCACCATTTGATAAGTTTATTTTTTAGCTAAATATAAATATAAAGTCAGGAAATATGCATTATTAATTTATAAACCAATATTTACGTTCCTATATGTTCAATACAACCACCAGGAAAATTGGATTTCTTTACCATTAAAGTTTATTACCCACAATCCCATATATATATTCGATGGTGTCACATCCATAGCAACCAATGCTAGAGAAGAAATTGAAATTACACTTCAGAATATTGAAAACATTATGAAATCCAACAAAATGCAAATTTTAACACCAAAAGGAACTGTCACATGTTTTGTCAACTAAATAACTCTGTCGGAGAGGGCACAAGGTTTAAATAAATGGTTAATTGGTCTATAAATGACCTTTTTTTAAATTTCATCTCATACAAGTGTTTCTGAATTCACAATGAAATTGTCTCCATTTTGGTATCTCATTCGAGTTTCTAGCATAATTAGTTGAGATTTTATGGCAATTTTTCTATGACATTCCAGCAATTCGTGAAAAATCAACTTATGGAGAAAATGACGTTTAAAGTTTTGAACACTAAATCACTGGTAGTCTATAGCAACCAATGCGTTATATTAAAGATAGGGCAATTATTTTTTGTTAAGGGACACATGGGGATATACCTGAAATGTCTGAAAAAATTTTCCGACGTTTGGCTGAAAATTGTCATTGCCATGGTAACGGCAATGGACGTTCTATCTTTAAAGCCCAATAATGTGACGTTATAACCTTTGTTTGACACTGTTGCACAATCAACTTCTTTGAATTCATCCAAAATGTCACTAAATCATCAGTGCTAAGTTTACAGATAAAAAGTTAATATATCTAAGCTGGTTGTCATGGAAACAAATAAAAAAAAAACACACAATTTACTCGAAATTTTACGAAATTACTTCCGTTTGTTTGTATTTTTGCATAAAAAGGTAATTATGATAATTTACAAAACATTTTGTTATACAAATTGAAAAAATATACACAAGTTCATGAAAATTGTCATTGCCATGGTAACGGCAAAGGACGATGTATCTTTAAAGCCCAATAATGTGACGTTATAACCTGTGTCTGACACTGTTTCCAAAATTTCACTAAATCATCAGTGCTAAGTTTATAGACAAAAAATAGATATGTAAGCTGGTTGCCATGGTGACAAATTAAAAATAAAACACAATATACTTGAAATTTGACGAAATTACTGTCTTTTTTGTTTTGCTTTGTTTATAGTTTTGCAAATATAAAAGGGAATTGATGATTTACAAACATTTTGATGTACAAATTGTACAAATGCATACACAAGTTCATTTTTATGAGATGAACAGAGGTAGGTTGACAAATCTGGCCCTATATGTTCTTCGGACGTAATATAATATATGGATTGGGGCTAGACATAAAATGTCACTCTTTTGGAAGTTGCGCCGATCCACTTCTTGGTCGCTAATTAAAAGCCAAATTTGGTATAACTTTTGGTGTTTATACAAAGTTGCGAGCGGGCTACCCAATCCGACTCCATTTCATGTTATTATTTTATGGAGGGGGAGTACTATCAGCAAATTCTTATAAATTCAGGATCTAAATTTAACCTCTAAATTTAAGGGCAAAAAGTTAAAGGATATGGATATAAGAGGTAATTTCATCTATATTTATTAATGTTTATCTCAGAAAAAAACAACAGTTTTTTTTTAGTATATCGTCTCCTCTGGGACCAACTGTGGAATCTACATTTGATAAACCTTTCAGGACTTTTCTATGATGGCTGTAATGCAGGTGTTTTTTCATGGATGGTGTCTAATTTTTGTTGTTATTTCAGATATAATATTTCCTGAAGTTGAAGACATAGATGAAGCTGCAGTACCAGAAGAACTGTAAGTAATATGTTTATCAGCATCAATATGTAAGGGGGGTTTACCTTTTCATGTTCTACATCTTTACTGTTTATAAAAATTTGAGCCTGCAAAATCTGTCTTATTCTGATTATTCAAATTAACAAAAGGGTACAACAATATTTAAGTGTCTATACCAGTTGTATCCAATTGTGATTTTGGCAGTGTCATTTCTCTCATTATAAGGAAAATGGGCCTCAAATAGTCAGTCTTGCTGATATAATCTACTCCTTCAATGAGCTTGACAATAAAAACGATTTTGATCAGTCAAAGTGGTAACTGAATAGGAATCAGGGTTCAAAAGAAAGTGCAAACCTGATTGATAAACATTTGAGGTAGAATAGTATATGCCATTGATAATGAAGTCCTGGTAAATTCCAATTTTAGGTCTGTACCTGATGATTCAGTAAATGCAGAGGAAGAAATATATCTCAATGAAGAGGAGGAAGATGATGATGATGAAAGTGAAACTGAATTTACTCAAACCTGTACAAAAAAGAAAAAAACCAAAAACAAAACGATAAAGATGGAACCAAGCAGAAGTCACAGAAATTAAAATATATTTTGATGAATATTTAAAATCTGGGACCACACCACGATTTGCTGAAATTGATAAGGCAAAAGCTAAAAGTAAAAGAAATAACGGACAAATATATTTAAGAGCGAACCACTTAATTGTTAAGAAAATTTCAAACATGAATCATTCAAAATGAAATGTAACATGTTACATTTTTGTAAAATTCTTCAGAGAGAGTAATCTTAACACCTTCTATGATGAAAATTATTTGAAGTGATATTTAATAATTTGAAAAAGTTTTTTATTTAGTAAAAACTTCTGTAAACCATGTGAGAGATATTTACCATACTCTGGTTGAGTAGTACTGTCATTATGTTAATCCTTATGGTGTTCACATCAAATTTGAGACAAGAAACTTGCATCACAAAAACCTTGACATTTTATTTTAATTTAACTTAAAGGGGTTTACTCATCTAAAACTAATGGGCTAATTGGGTGAATAGCGGCTATTGACACATTTTATGTGGAAAATCTCGTTAATGAAGAATGTAAGAATATGTAAAATTAGTCAAAGGTAGTATGAGAAATAAACACTGAAGAAATGTAAATGAATGTGTTTTTATGGTAGTTAAATAGAACAATACATTTTAATATGATATTTGCAATTCTGTTAGACTATTCTCACAAATGTGCTCTGATAAGAAAAAAATGTAACTGGTTATATTATATAATATATTGTAGACAAACTCAAAATGGCTAAACGGTGTTGCTGCAGCTCTTTCCATAAAACCATCAGGTAGAAAAATTGATTGATCAAAAGCACTTCAAAGCTTTCTGTCCAGTGTTAAGAGTACAAAATCCCTTTGACAGTAATTCCCAAACTGGGTTGCATTCCAAGGATGGGTGTTTCTTTTTTTTTTAGTTGAAATGGATTCTTGTGTTACTATAATTGTAGTGGTAAGCAGCGCTGTATCTCATCTCATTCTGGGAAAGCTTGAGTACAGAAAAATTATCATTCAATGAAGGATGCTAATTCCATGTAATGGGTGTGAACTCCTAATTTAAAGTCAATGAGTTTGAAATACATGGACACAGTTTCAAAAGTCAAAATGAACACCTTGCAAGCTGACTCAACCCCAAAACATCGTTTACCTATCAGATTTTAGAATTTTCAGTTATGTGACTGTGAAATGACATTAATCTGTGGTCAAAGGGGAACAAAATTAGTGTTAATGTGGTCTGCCTGTCTGGCTATAGAAGATAACTGAATATGTGACTATATCTTATTCCTTTATGTGACTTAAATTCAACCACATGTGTAGATATGTGACTGCAGACACTTCTTTTATGTGACTTACAATAAACCATATAGGTATGTGACTGGTATACTGTATGTCACTTTAATAAGTGACTGTATATTTAAGTGACATAAATCTCACCATTTTTTCTATTATGTGATTTAAATTGAACCATAGGTGTGTGGCTGTAGATACATGTACATGTACTTTATGTACAGTCAAGTAACCTAATTTCGTGGAAACCTATTATTTGTGGATTTCTGGAAATGTTTAATAATTTACATGAGCGACCTCGAGCGACCTCCGCATTAGTTTGTTTCAATAAACATGGGTTTTCTCTACAATATTCTTATGTTGTTTCAGTGACTTTTAGCAATAAATCACGCTACGAATCTTATTTTGTCAGTCACTATTTTTTTTTAAATCATGGTTCTTTGAAGGAATTGTCACTAGTTATAATGAATTGATATTAAAGATAAATACTAAGAGAAGTTAATTATACCACCCGGTATCTATACAAAGTTTTTTCCTCAACTTATTTATAGATCAAACATTGTACACGAAAATAGGTGATGCATTCTGCATGTAATGCTGGTTGCTCATGAAATATGGGTCAAAGTGAAGGATTCATAAAGAAAATCGAAATAAACCAATTTTAATTATTTTGTAGAATATCTGAAAAAACATCTAAGACATAACAAATTTTTTTCGTTTTTTTAACTTTGACGAAATTCGGTGTTAAATCCTTATATCCACGAAAATAGGTTACACCACTGTACTACATATTAAT